GGGGGCGGGCGAAGACTTTTTTTTTAAATAAATAGATGAGACAATGGACAATGTCCAAAAACATAATACTTGCAGTAATATACCATAGTCACAAACATTTAGATCTTAATGGTAAAAAACTGTGCCTGCCAGTGGATCAAGACCATGGCAACATATGTCTCCAGAACTGAGAGTCAAAAGATTTAATGACTGCTGTATATCTGATCAATAGAATGGGAGGATGGGCACAAACCTGAGAATGTTGGCAATTAACAGGAGAGTATGAGCAATGAATATGAGACAAGATACGAGCTGTGAAAATATTGAAGCTGAGAGCTAACAAGAACAGCGAGCAGAGAATGGCAAAGCTGAATAAAGGCCAGTGGCTTCAAGAATGAAACTAACTCAACAAATCTCATGTCTACAGTGTTTTATAATATTTGTTTTCTTTCACATGTTTATAGTAAGATTATTAAATCAATTCATAAAATCACTTTCTCTGTGTAGACATGCTTCCTAATGCAGGAACATTTAGCATGCAGGATCATCTTCCATTCAGGTGAATATGGCAGTACACTTTAGTGCACTGAGGAAAAGTGGTGCTATGAATTATTAGTGGAAAAAAACTGCTCTACTACAGAAAATTTCCACTCTTCAAATTTTCATAAATTCTCATCTTGAACATGCCTATTTTAAACACTATTCCAGCAGTTGCATAGATGAACTGAGGAGGGGGGGGGGGCAAACAGCCAGCCTCCTGACTGAAATCTACACCTGTGATCTTCTGAATAAGAAGTGCCATCCACTCAAAGAAAACAAAGGCGGCACAACACAAAATAAAAAAATTAACATGGTCAACATCATCCTCCACTACCTGATCAGTTTCAGTGTCCAGGATATACACACATCACTAAATGGTGATGGACAGACAAAATGGACTCAATTACTTAAGGCATTTTATTACAATACCTCACAGCTGCATTTCTGTGCACACATTATACTTAATTCTCAGGCAGTTTCCCAAATATTTCTATGTCAAATAAACAAGATAAACCTTCAGAGAAGTTATATTCATTCAGCAACACTCATACATTGCTGTCACACATATTTACAAATGGTTTACTTCTGGCAATTAACTGTATACATGAAGTAACTGACGTTGCAGCTACTTTACCGTCCACTGCTGTGTGCTAATAACAACTACACAAATCACCTGGGTTAGCCTTGAGCCCACACCACAAACCTTGCTGGCAATTTATTTAAACAACTGAATTATTTTCTCTCATTTAATCACTTCAGTGGTTTCTCTGGAAATTTTCCATGATTATTCATTTTCAGTTCCTACTTGGTATATCCCACAAAACTTTCAAACTCAGTACAGGGCTGCGTTTGTTACATATACATGTTTCTCCAGGCTCCATGTTACCTGTTGTTTGTGGTTTTTAGGTTTTTCAGAAGATTGCAGCATATGGAATCATCTGTCACTACTTTCTGGATGCATTAAAGACATATATCATATTTTACATTGTAGCTCCTTACACACAGCAACTGCTAACAACAAACATGACTTGAGGGAAAGAAAACTTTGCAACCTGTGAAAATTTGTGGGCCTTTGAAGGCCAAAGGTAATTCTGTGTGATGTAACTTGTAACACAATGAATCTGTATTTTCTCACTATAGCAGCATTGTATATGAGGGCAATGTGGAAGATATAATATTACAGGCAGATATATATCACCATCTATGCTGAAAATAAGAGGCAATTGTACAGTCATTTTCGATTGAAAAAGTGGCATGGAACTTAAATAAACAGGATCCAGCAGAATGATCTCCCAGATTTAAAACTGCTGCCATGCAGGCATTATTGGAGGTGGGCAGGTGGGAGATATGTCTTTGAGCAGCAGAAGCCTTGCCATTTCTGTTGCCATCATGATGTGGGATGGTGAACATCATGCATTTGTAATTGAAACTTATTTAGAAAATGGTGACTATCATTGAAACGCAAGGGTTATTTCATACAAATTTCGGAATAGGTTGACACAGAAGAGTTCCTGACAGGAAAAAATATTGTTGTAGGTTAGAAATTTCAGAGAGACAGGTTCAGCTTTGAAAGAGAAATCGTCTGGTAGACATCTTAGCATTCGATCACCAGAGAATATCACAGCAATGAGGCAGGCCATTACCACATCTCCAAGATGTTCAGCCGTTAAGCATGCTCTGACCTTGGGAATATCTGATCAGTGTGTCAGAAGAATTTTACACATAGACCTTAAGTTCCATCCATACAAAATGATGGTTGTTCAGGAACACAGGGAATGTATCTGGCTCAGCCACGAAGCATCTTGTGAGGCCATCTTGGAAAATGTTCCAACTGACATTGATGTGCTCGCTAGTGATGAAGCTCATCTTCATTTGTTGGGCTGTCAACAAGCAGAATTTTCGGTATTCGGCCACAGACAATCCTTGACAACTCCACAAGTGATTTCTTCACAGTGAGCATGTTACTGTTTGGTGTGGTATTGCGGAACTCGGAATAATTGGGCTACACCTTTTTGAAGAAGAATGCACATTGACAATTACACCCCATCACTATGTAGAGATGTTACAAAACTTCCTGGAGCCAAGACTCAACAAACTTGGAAATGCATATGTGGTTCCAAGATGGAGCCACTGCACACATGGCAAGAACATCCATGGAAGTTCTGAGAAAATATTTTCCAGGATGCCTCATCTCACTACATGGTGACATCCCGTGGCCAGCTCGCTCACCAGAATTATCCCCTTGCGATTTTTTCCTTCTTGGATACGTGAAGATGGAAATCTTTAAATGTAGGCCACAGACAACTGACAAATTGAAAGATGTTATCTGTCATAAAATCACAGCAATACCAGGGGTAATGACAAGGTGAGCTCTATAGAACTTCAGGGTGAGGCTTCAGAGAACATAGCTCATGAGGGCAAGCACTGAGATGATATAATCTTTAAAAGAAACTGACAGCAATAACAAAACAAAATGGCAAATATTGTTCTTTAGTATTGTGAAACAAAATTCTGAATAGGAATTACACTGCCTTCTTTATTTATGTTCCAAAACTGGGAGATCATTCTGCTGGACCCTGTATACAAATGTATGTATTAGGGCCACAGTTTTTGTCAATGCAGGTAATTCTCCAATACGGAATACAGTATTCTTATGATACTGTCACTAAGACAAACAGGTGTGCATAAGTGTTCTAATGATGCAGATGCAGATACAGAGGCAAGAATAATACTTTGGAAGGATACTTGCAGAGAAGTGAGTTTCCACTTCTCTGCTGTGGACAATGGGGTTAGTAAACAAACAAGAAGTGAAGGACAAAGAACTTACTCCTGCAATATAACATTTTATGAACTCATGTCTCTATGGAGATTTCAGCTGCTGCTCCAAAACATTCATGTTGTCAATAATGATGATGCAGAAACAATGACCATTTGAAGAAAATCAGGCAGCTACTTGGACAGACAGTAAAATTCATTCAGGAACATAATTTGCCTAAAGAGAAATTTTCCATTGAGGAATGTCTGATGCACATCTAAGTAAGACTCACCATAAAGCATTATATTCAACAGAAGACTGTAAGGATTGGTCTGAAAATGTCCTCCATTTCTGAGGCCAAAACATGATATGTCTTTCTTGCACTGGTCAAGAAGAGCAAGAGGATGGAAGTGATACTCTGTTAAAAACCTGGGAGCCATGCATCAGTTACAAAACTTGTATTCTGTCTTAAATTAATAAATATGGAAGAAACTGTGTTTTATAGGCAAGCTGTCTTTAAGTTTACACTGTTCCAAGAACTGAAACACTATAAATTTGCAGTCTATGCAAGAGTAAATCTACAAAGAAAAGGAATGCTGCAAGAACTGGAACTGACAAAGTAAGGAAAGGCGATGTCCCATGAAGCAGTTGATAATCACTGAAGTAGCATGACAAAAATATGTGTTTAATTGTCATCTACCCTTCACACAGGAACTATGGGCAATACTGAAAAGCTTAACAGGAAGACAATACCAGTTATCAAGAAATTATATGCTGCAGCTCAATCCAATTCGATTATTTGAGAGAGGGGGAGAGACAGACTGGCTTGACGGAAGATCAAACCTTATTAGCATCTGAAGAAAAGATGTATGGGAAACTTTTCTCCCACTCATTCAATATTACAAATTGTGTCCGAGAAGAGCTGAGGGTCGAATAAAGCACTTGTGTAATTCCACCACAAAGTGAATAACAGACTGTTCCAGACATACATCCTGGAGAGAACAACTTTTCAAGGAGGAAGACACTGAAGACAGATCCACAGCATGTCCCATTGGAACACACTTCCCACTTACTGCAAAGAGGATTTTTCCAAGTACAATGTGCCATATGCGTCCAGGGAACAGGGAACCAGGATGGGACTGCAAAGAATGCAGGAACATTCCTCTTCATCAAATGAACTTTTGTCAACCATTTCACACTAAAGAAAGCTTTAAAAACCCATGGCAGTCTGCTACTGTGTTCACTGTGAATATGAACTTTCCTCAAAATAAGTTTCAATTTTCAATTGTTCTAAAATGTAGAAACTGTTATTTTTCTTGCAGCCCTCCCACCAATACAAAATTTAAATTCAATTTTAAGTTACCACTGAATTGTCTACCCATCAGTATTTTACATTTTGAACAAAACAGTTCCCAAAACAAATATGTAGTACACAAAGTCTTCTTGGATTCTCTTTAACAATGTCAGAGAATGGTAAATTCATTTGTAAACATCACTGCAATATTCACCAAACACAANACAAAATATCTTGAAAATAAAACGTTTTCCTCTCACAGGAAAAGACCCTGTATTATGTTCTATAACATAATCTGAAGCTTTTTAAAAAATTCAATAAACATAGACTTCTCACAGTCTACAAGACGCACATAATGTTACTGTTTATGCAAGTCCTATATGCTGAAAGAATCCTGACAGCAAGGTTGGGATGTAGCAGTGTTTTATTGTGCTGGTAAGTTGAGTAGTATGTTTTGTCCTGCAGGTAGGTAAGCCACTTGTCGTGAGCGGGACAGTTGGTAGGCAATGTCTTCAGCTGCTTCAATTCTCCTCAACTCCACAAGACCCTCACCAGCTTCTCCAAATGATTTGGCAAGCAGTATTGCGGCCTGAGCATCCCCCTCTGCTGATATAACTGCTGCTTTCTTCTGTTGCTCAGCCTGCAAACACCATTTTACGTCAGAGTAGGAAATCTCTCATTATACAGCAAGACAACTTATGACACTGATGTTCCTTAAAATTCTTCAAAATTACTTAAACAATTAGAAATCAATAACTAGTATAGATCTACCAACATTAAAGTTGCCACATGTAACTTCAAAGTTTTACACAATTTCCACATTTGTATAATCTTTAATAAAAAATATTTCATGTAAGAACTTGCAGTTATGCTCATGTTCTATCTGTGTACAAAATTACACAACTGACTAGTTTCAATGGTTCACTATATATCACCATCAGACAGAAAGCTAAACAGAGACAAAATGTTCAAAGAGGACCACATTTTAGGACACAAGTAGACAATGGTCAGAATGCCAACAGCAAAGATGATACATGCTAGTCATGAATAAAGATGAAATGAACCATCAACAAGGCTAGCATCTGCATCTCTTGGAGAATGATCTGATGTTGAAATGATAGGAAATGTTCCAGTCTCTTGCAGATGTTTGTGAACTTTAGTGAACTTGTTTTATTTGGAATTATCCTGTCCAGGAACTGTCATTAACCTTTAAGAGCCGAGCGACGCCACATGGCGTCATTAAAATAAAGTCAAGGGGACGAATGACGCCATAGGTCGTCGCACAGTCCACGCGTGGGGCCGGCTTTTTAAAATCTAATTTTAAGATATAAATTCTTTTTCTAATTACATGATTTTTGGTCACCAGCTTTATAAGTTGTCTCTCTTCCCACCTGCGTCGTCTATCGGACTGTTGGCTTCGTGTGGAAATCTTGAAAACATCCAGAAATCCAGTGTCCGTCATCGCACTTCACGCACTTTGTCCGGACGGTTCTTCGTTTCCCACGCGAAAAGCACACACGACACCTCAATTGTGAAGTAGAGGAAGTAGGCCAGTGATGTGGTTTGGCCTCCTATAATAGAGATATCTCCGATAAAACGGCAGGGGTTCGACCCCTGGTCCGGTGATGGCGAGGTGGACCCCTTCCAGCATGTTCCGCACAAGAGCGAGACGAAATTCTCTTTGTGACAACAGGATGTAACTATTCAGATCCAGGAGACGGAAAAATAGTTTATTTGTCCATTTCCAGGTTTGACGACAGATGCTATAACTGTTTGCAACAGTTTGCCCACAGCTCCACCTGAATAATTATTCACACTTCTCTTGCCATGCTGGTGTGGTGGTCCCCAGGTTGCCGACGAAGATGATGGTTCTTCGTGGAAATCAACAGCCAGTGATGTGGTTTGAGCTCCTCTAATCGAGGTATCTCCAATGAAACGGCAGGGGTTCGACCCCTGGGCTGTTGAGGGCGAAGTGGACCCCTTCGAGCATATTCTGCACAAGAGCGAGACGAAATTCTCTGTGTGACAACAGGATGTAACTGTTCAGATCCAGGAGATGGAAAAATAGTTTATTTGTCCATTTCCAGGTTCGACGACAGATGCTATAACTGTTTGCCACAGTTTGCCCACAGCTCCACCTGAATAATTATTCACACTCCTCTTGCCACGCTGGTGTGGTGGTCCCCAGGTTGCCGATGAAGATGATGGTTCTTCATCGACTTCAATTTCTGATTCACTTTCTTCCTCACAACTCTCAGAGTCATCGGTACAACAGTCTGAATCGGTGTCATTTATAAGCTGATTCTCCATTTCAGCGTCTTCCAAATACGAGGCCATGGTGGACAGCTAAACACAATGCTAGCCTTGAACGTTCTGACACTGCTCGACTATATTTCAAAAGAGACTACTTCTTGTTTGGCTATATGAGATAAAACACTCAGTGTTTCTGCGAACGAGTAGACATCGCCCACACTCGTTCATACCGAAAGGAACCTACGAACTTGAGAATGATGAACGAAGCGTAAACATCCAACCTTGTAGCAACACAAGCCATAGTTAGAGCATGATGTCACCAGCAGGCATTCAGACTGCAGAAATGTTTTGTGCAGGAACTGTATGCATTTTTGTGCACAGACGTTCGAAATTGAGGGGAAACATTTTTTTGGCATCAGTGTAAAAATTTTTAGAGATTTTAAAATCGGTAAATTATAATAACTGATTCGATATTCTTTCTAGATAAAAGCAGCGTTTATTTCGTTTATTTATCACAAATATTGTAGAAATCACAGCATTTTGAGTAACATGATTACAATTTTTATTACTCTACAGTGGCGGGCATTTAAATTAACTCCGTCCCGCTACCACTACCGGAATTTAAATGGCCGTCTCTTAAAGGTTAATATTGTTCAACTAAGGTTCTTGAATTACCATTGCTAAAACTATAAATAAAATGCATACTTGCATATTCATTGTTTAAATAATGAAATGGTATGTTCACAACACATTTCAACTACACTCGAATGCAGTACAGAACTAAACACAAGCTAACAGAATAACACACCTACACTCACTCAATTAACACTGAGCAGGTTACGATTCAAACTCAACTGTTATTAAATCACGGATGTGTACTCATGTTACTGCAATGCAGATGTATGCGCATGCACTGCTTTTATACAAACCTTTTAAAGACAATGTATCTAAGACAAAAGTGCACAGTTTGAATAGGTCTGCCACCTTGAAACAATTTAATATCATGTACTTCAATTATGCCTGCCATCCTTCGTAACACATATACACAGGGCTCAACAACCCCACTTAGCCATATTAAGCAAAAAACCAAGACTGATGAATGGAATTATTTGTGATTTTATCTGGTAATATTCTCCTCTGCTCTTTTTTAATTTTGCCAAAGACATCAAAATAGTAAATGATATAATACATAACATGCTATATAATATAAAGAAAAGCATTTTATGTGATGTGATGGTAAGTAAAACGGTTTGAAGCAACAGCAACAATAGTGTTGGAAGGTGTTCTTTTCTTTCACAGAGAAACATCAAATAGGAATTATGTCTTAACAGTGTACTAAGACAACATTAACTGATCCTGTGTGTGTGTGTGTGTGTGTGTGCGCGCGCGTGCATGCACATGTGTGAGAGTGAGAAAGAATACCTGTTTAGTTAGTTAGTTATTGGAGAGGGTGGGTTTCCCCATGCACTTAGACCAGTATTGGTCCACTGTGCTTCCCTCTATGATGAACCAGTCTCTATATCCTACCAATATTGGTGTGTACCATCAGTCCCGACCAAGCCAGCGAGTTCGGCCTCCACTAGCTTGGCGGTATCTATAATGCTTCCCCCATCTATCAGAGGCGTTAGAGACTACTTGTTGGGTGGGAAACATCCTTGAATTTGGCTCAGTGACCTCCTTTGGAGATATGAGGTTCTTTTACGTGCCGTAAAGCTACGACAAGGGGCACACAGCTTAAACTCCCTCCCAGAGGACTTGTTCCCTGAATTTTTCCGCCCTTAAAAATTCGACGACCTCCGCCTGGTTTGAACCCGCGTACCACGAGTCATGAGGTGGGAACGTTACCTCTAGACTACGGAGGCTGCTTACTACCTGTGTAACAATGGAATCATCCATATGCTTCATATTTATTTTTACTGTGTTACTTCTGCCACTGAACCATGCATACCAAAATTTTTTACCATACACTGATCTTTCTACTTAAATAGAACATGCTTCTTACATAATTGCAATATATTTATGTTATGTAAATATGGCATTCAGAACTTGACAATTTATCAGAGTGAGTGAAGGGAAATAAAGTAAACAGATCTATGATACGAAAAATCTTTTCTAGTACCACAGTGAAGCAAACTATGTATCCTCTCATCCTTCAGGCCATGCCAATTAATTCTTCTTGCAGACAGTGCTCCAGTTTTATAGTGTAACCTTAGCATTATATTACATTTATATCTTTGGTCAATGGAACAATGAATGAGTAGATTTTTATTATGAGATACGTAAATGATTTCCTAACTAAAAGGTCACTAGTGCTTTGCAACCATTCTATATAAGACTCAAGAGAGTGACACTAATTTTCATAATGGTTACCTTCTCTACAAGAAAGCGAGCCTTCTCTGCCTCTTGCTGAGCAACCTGTTTCAATTCCACAGCCTGTGTGAACTCTTTGCCAAATGTTAAATGTGTCTGCAAAGAAAAAAACACACAATTCCAGTAATTCTGTAACAGCATATCAATGACGACATTGACAACAGCAGCAGCAGCATCGATGACGAGAATGTAATACTTCTTTACTTCTGTGCCGAACTATTAGCTATGGAAAAATCAGTGTCAGCAAAAACACAAAAGACAACACAAGCAAACATACAAATAAAAAATAAATGAACAAATACAGAAAAAGTTAAATTAATTTAGGTTATTTACACTTGATGTCTAAATTGCTAAAAATATCTGATATACAAACTGCATCGGCAGCAGCAGCACATCTAGCTTCAGGACAATGACTGTAGGAGCAGCTTAACATATAAAAGTTACGTATGTTTGATGCAGGAAAATGAATACTGATTGTTTCTAGAACTGAAGGTGACATTTAATGTCATTCTAAATACATATTGAAAATAAAGTGCCTGAGTGATGATGTATATGATCATAACAGAGTTCCATGCAGAAGCACACTGAAGTTTAGATAGGATCACAGCAAAATAAAGCATCAGCACACTGCCTACGGTGAAAAACAAAATCGTGATGGTGAGAATTAACCCTAGCAATTTTACTGCAAATAAAAGGAGAAAGTCAACATGATGATGAAGAAAATAAAGTTTACAATCAATAAGTACACCCCAATCATTAATATGATCACTTTCCCATACAAGCAAATTTTCATGGGTATACTTATAATTAAACATATTCAGTTTCCTAGTGAAAGTAATAACTTTGAGTTTACTAAGGTTAAGCTTAGGCCGCGCCATAGCTCAAGTGGTTAGTCGCTGGCTTCCCACCGCAGCGGCCCGGGTTCGATCCTGGGTCTGGTCAAGTGGGATTTGTGGTGGACAAAGTGGCGCTGGGGCAGGTTTTCTCTGAGTACTTCGGTTTCTCCTGCCAATCTTCATTCAAACCAATTGCTCCACAATCACCCTCACCTATCATCTGGGGCTGGTACAATAGGCCAAAAGTGGCTGCAGTACAAGGGACTTCGTCCCACCCCACTAGCTATAAAAAAAAAACAACTTAAGATCATCAGCAAAAAGAAGACCACTGGAACAACTAATTACATTGCATAAATCATTAATACAGAAATTGGAAAGCACTGGCTTCAAGACTGACATCTGAGGTACGCCTGATAACAAATGGCGAAAACTGCACACCATAAATACGCACACTAAGACTGTCTGGCTGTTGGGTAACTGCAAAACCAGTTTAAGTAGCCAGGAGATAATCCATAATTATTACATTTACAGAGAAGCAGTTCATGTGGATTAATTTCAAAAGTCATAATATTAAAGTCAAAATAAATAGAATCGGTTTGACCTCGTGAACAAACTACAGGGGCTACAAAATCAAGGTGACTAAACTGGTAAAACTGTATTATGACTTGGTAAAATAATGCTGAGAAGACATAAGCCAACTTATACAAGTGAGAAATGTGGTCATGTATAATACAGAAAAATTAAGAACACATTAAGAATAGCTACGGATCTGTAACTACCAAGACAGGAACTTCTGCCTTTTTGAAAACGGGAACAATTGCTGCTTCCACTAGTTATGAAAGTGTTTTGAAATAAGCTAAGATTAAAAATAAACCTCGGAACTGGTATGAAAATTTTAGTACAACCCTTTATAACAAAACTTGCAATACTACTAAGTCCAATTAATTTTGATAGTTGCAATAGTTTTATAGCATTCTGAACATCAAAGTTTGAGTGGGAGATAAAAATGAAACTTCTGTACATTGCTTAAGAGAAGGAAAGGTTCCATATGATGAAATACCATGAACAGAGCGAAATGTTTTGAAAAAACCTCTGCAATATTGGAAGGGTTAGTTAAAAACATTCCAACAATTTCTAGCTGCAACAAATTGGCATCCTTTTCCTCAGTTAGGACACATACTGAAAAAATACTAGGGTTGATCTCTCGAATTTCTGTTGAAGGATTTAAACCTGTTAAATCTGTCCGACGTGATAACTGTCTTAACAAATTTATGGTAAAAAGAAAATCTGTTTTAAAAATAACCAGTCCTAAACCTCTCAAAGTGCCTATAAAAATAATTTTCCTGAATATAAAATTAAAGTTTCCCCCAAACCAAGGATACTTACACTTCTTGTGCTCAGAAGGTAGAGCTAAAGCTGTAGTTTGGGGTACAATGACATTTATTCTGACAATTACAGCATCAACAGATTTTTTCAATATGCAGGGAAACCATCACACTCTCTAACTAGGAGTGGCTGCTACTTTTGAACAGCAATACCATGCTTCTGATCTTCCATCATATTGCTCCTCCACTTCCTTGTCCTCAGGATGGATTCCTATTCGATAAACATAAGCAGCACTTCTGGGAAATGAGAACTGGTGAATTAAGGGAGGCTGCCATAAAAATATGTTGCTAATAGGATTCTCTGTCTCACACGTCCTGTGCTGGGATCTTAGCCTGTTCAGGTTAAATTCATAATAAGCAAAGATCTGAAAGAACATCTAACATGGGGAAACCACAGCAGCATTCAGAAGAACTTATCTTTTTTTTTAATATTATACAGTCATAATTTTCTGATTAAGAAGCATGTAAATATGGTAATGATATTATTAAAACTATATTTCAGCTTGAGGAATGGGATATCCAATGCAAATGATCTGTACAAGTGCATCCTGATGTTAGTCAGTGTGGGATTACATAGGACCAAACAACAAAGAAGGTGCTTTGGAGACATTTGTTTGTCATGCCATTTAATCCCTTATTCCCTGCAGTACTAAATCTTCAGAAGTAGACAAGCATTGTGAACAAATTTTAAAGACAGTTGCTCTGACTGAAAACATACTTTGTTAACATAGTAATAAAATTCATTATCATTAATCACAGAACTTGGACCAAAATGTCTTACCATACATTTCTGATGAGCTTGAGATAAAAAGAAATTAACTTACTATTGATATATCATCCAAGATGACGCCAAACTGTAAAGCTCGTTCTGTCAAATCTTCACTGACCTTTTGAGATACAAGTTCTCGTTGTGTGATCAACTCCCCAGCATCAAACTGAGCCTAAAATAATATACAAACAAATCATCTGAAAGCTCACCTCTAGATTTACTGCAATCTACAACAAAGCTGAACAGAAGAGTACTAACCCTTCCAGCACCAGAAGCAATATACTTACACACATAATTTCCATTGCTTGTCATTTCCAAAAAAATCTGCAAGTACCTTTCTGCCTCTCCATGTTGTATACAGTATACTCTACAATCTGCTATTCATTTACACTGATCTTATTTCAGTTCTTGTGAATGATCCTAGATGACAGGAGGTGGCTTTTTACCAAACTCAACTGATATTATGGGGTGGCAAAAATTATAGACAGAAAAAATGAACAGGATTTAAATTTTAGTGAAGTTGTGTAACATGGCAAGGGTTAGCATAAGGTCTCAAAATGATGCAGCAAGACCAACACTACAAAAAAAGAATTCATTTTATCCCTAAGTGTTAGGTTTGGTCATTTTCATTTTGCTCTCCTCTGCCTCTGTATGTTAAAATTCTATCCCAAGTCCCTAAATACTGCCGGAGATCATCATATTGCTCTGAATGGTTTCAAGACTCAAAACCCATCAGTAAAATGTTCAATTCTGCATACGAAGGGGGACCCAAAAATAACCGGAAATGACCTGTTGCACGCGCATGCTTTGTAGTTACGAGTTGTGCTGCTAGGTGGTGTTAGCTGGGGGTCTCCCGCGACTGTTAGTGAGCTGGCGTCAGCCTGAGTTAAGTGGTTAGTCTGTGGTGCTCTGTTGTGTGCGTTCCTGTTTCAACCCTTTGACGATTAGTGAGATGGCCGACCAGAAGGAACAAAGAGTGTGCGTGAAATTTTGCTTTCTGTTAGGGNGACGATCTTCATCAATTTCACGCACACTCTTTGTTCCTTCTGGTCGGCCATCTCACTAATCGCCAAAGGGTTGAAACAGGAACGCACACAACAGAGCACCACAGACAAACCACTTAACTCAGACTGACGCCAGCTCACTAACAGTCGCAGGAGACCCCCAGCTAACACCATCTAGCAGCACAGCTCGTAACTACAAAGCATGCGTGCGCAACAGGTCGTTTCTGGTTATTTTTGGGTCTCCCCTCGTACATCAAAATTACACCTATGGCAAGATGATTCGATTTCTGTTTGAATTCTGGTATTTTTATCTTCACTCAAAACTGAATTATAGAGGGAGATGTATGGGAAGATATACTGCAATGATGCAAAACACACCTGTCTGGCATCAAATCCACTGCCATAAACATTCAAAAACTTGAAGGCAGAATGCTTGACTTTTTTTCAGGATGATGAAATTTATACTTGAAAATTCCTTCTATATCACAAAAGGAGATTAGCAGAATTCTAATCTTTGACGTTAACATTCAGTCTGGGAAAGAGTGAGCTTCACCATGGGACAATGACATTTTCTTTCTGTGTCATATTTTAATTTAGGTCTTGTCACTGGTCACTCCCCAGATGTCATTCTGAAAAATTTCCTTTCCTCTAAACAAACACATTCTTTAAACAATATCTGTACAGACTTTCTGCATGTTCAGTTCATCTGAGAATTTGCAGACAATCAACTGATGATTATTCCCCCCCCCCCAATATAAGTGACGTTTTCCATATCAGAATCGGTTCTTGAAGCTACAGGACAACAGGATCATTTATTATAATTTCCTCGTTGAAATTGCTTGCATCACACAAAACCTATGTCGTAACACTTGTAATATTCTGGGAATGTTCTTCACAATATATGTCAATTTGAGGTGAAATTTAATGTTCACCACTGTTCTAAAATTAAAAATATATAAACGATTTTCAAAACAGAACCCAAACAGTACAGTAATAAACCTCTGATTGCTGCTGTAAAAAGAGTGAATCCAACTTATAACACTTTGCAATGAGGTCACATGTTCTAATATGAGCTATCAAGTACTGACATCTGTCTAACAGAAAAATATGTCTAGACCTCATAAAAGACAAGGGGGAAAAAAATGCTATCGCAAATGGGACAATTTAGTATAAGAGTTAATTACCTGCACTGTGTGTGTGTATGTGTGTGTTGACTGACTCACTTGCTGAAGTTTCTTGCATGTATCAAAGGACCTATTTTTGTCTCTCTGTACCCCCCAACTGGTTAGAAACTCAGTGCATGGAACTACTTACAACAACAGCCTTTAACACCTCTGTGGTAATTGAAGGCAGAACCCTTTCATCATAGTCGATACCAAGAATTGTGTAGATACGAGGCAGCTGATCTGGAGTAGGTCGAAAGAGAATACGAAGCGTGATGTTGACATTTTGCAAATCTAGAACATTTTTCAGAGTATGGCATTACACTTAATAAACCAGAATTTGTCACTGATACTTAACACTGTCTGGTATCTAAGATAAACTTATATTGCTAACCTATTTAAAAGGTGAGTGACAGCTCATGCAAAGCCATAATATGAGTGTGATGAGTGTGTAGGAGACAGTAAGGCTCAGACTGCACTCACAGACTCTGTACTTAGTAGACATTTGTAGGATTCAAGGATCTCACAGGCGCAGCTGTGACACTGAAGTCCACTGAAAGCCAACTGAAGTTTCAGAGGAACATAGTGTCTCCATCTTCAGGGTTGAAGAATATGCCAAGCAAGAACCCTGCCTGAAGCTGGATGACTTCCAATGGACTATACAGTGTTATATCCCAGGGGATAAAACTCTTCACAGTAGAATTAGCCCACAACTTTGAATGCCTTTAGGAGTGTGACAGCTCTGCGGTAAAAATTAAACCAAAGTTCTATTGGAATTTATAAGAATAAATACACACAGCATCAATCACTCTTTGGAGACCCATCTGTAACAGTGGCTGTGCACCCTCAGTAATGTGCCAGCATTTCTGGGGGGGGGGGATCTCGTGAAAGGTAACTTAAGGTAACCTACCTTGGGTAGGTCACATGTGTATCACATTGTGGTGATGTGATACGAGATGACTCCTTGTCCTAATAATAAGCAAAACAATTTCTTGGAGAGGGCCTAATTATTTTTTAAATTAATTTGATATTCTTGACTATGTATTTATATTTACTTGTGTAGAAAAAATGTATTTAACTACTCACTGAAGTAAATTATTTGATCATCACTATATACAGAAGATGAACTGTCCCTTGATGTAATTTTGCATAACTCATACTTTGTAAAAACCTTGATTTGGTGTAATGAAAGCCATCCCCAAGAGATTCATGAAACAGGGACTTCAGTGCATACTTTTTACAATTACAATAACATGACATCAATGTATAATATATGTACTGACATATGTACATGATGTTTGATGGCCATAATCTACAGAAAAATAAATTTTTCAAACTGATACTAGTCCAATGTGTTACACATGTACTACATAATTCTGTTATGTTACCTGAAGAGTACCAATCTTCTATGATTGTTATGAAAGATTTTGTTAATCCTGTAGAAATGAACACAAGTACAAACTTCAATTTGTTCAGATTTACATTTCTCACATTTCATCTTGGTTGCCAACTTATTTCCTTCTTTTATATACTATGAGGTATTGTGTATCACCTACCATTACATGTTACAAGTGAGATTTATGGTTTTCACAGTGGTAAAGATTTAGACTGTGGTCTTCTGGGTTATGCCATCATATAGATTTATGTGTGGTTACTGTTGTTTAGGAGGAATCTGCAGCAGGTTCCTGCAAGACAGTAATAACCTACCGCACTTCTTGGTGCCAAAACCCAGAAGACCACAATCCAAACTTATGTAAACTAGGATGCAGTCAGATTCAATCTTTTTTTTTTGGGGG